CACGTACTCACAAAAAGTGAAGGAAAAAAAAAAAAAAAAAAAAAAAGAAGCCGGTCAGAATAATTCCCAAAGTAGTGCTTGCTAAAAGCTATCCATCCATTCAGTAAATTAATTTGTGTATTCACCTGTATTCCCATAATTCATGGCCACCCTGTACATCTCCCCTCCACCGCCCCCCATGGCAGACTGTGTATTTCTGACAGAGAGTGACTGGCCAGAGTGACAGTTGCTCTGGCCCTTACCCATGTGTGATAAATCGCTTAGTAATCTCCACAGCACCATCATGCATACATTGAAAGTGTTTAGGGCATTGTAACTTGGGAGAACTTCCAATCTTTCATAAATAACCATTAAGCTGTCCCTTTCACATTCAGCTTTCCACATCTGTTTCAAATTGTTCAGTGCTATTCCAGGAGTGCATTAAAGCTCCAGTCCAGGTGGTATTAAGGGGATGAATGAGCCACAGGGAAAAGGCACTCTGTATTTTTCTTAAAGCAATTTTTTCTCCTTCGTACAAAGTTAGGAGCCAAGCAATTTACGATTAAGATTTTTGGAGGATATTTTCTATCATTTTCAGCCATCCTTGTTTATGAGTTTAAAAATGCAGTTTTAGCTCTGCCATTCTAGCATACACTAATGCTTTTCTCCATATAGGTAGATTGTAAATATCATTTCTACCGGCATTTCTAAGTAGTTTTAATTCATTATGATTCCCTGTAGTTTCCTATTGAAGAAAAATGAAAAATCGTTATAACCAAAGGTCAGTTAGGAATAAATGTCTGAATATGCATTTATATTTGTGACATTCAGGAATTTCAGAGATAGTGGTCAATTTTCTGTTTGATTCATTTTTATACAGGAAGCAGCTTGCTTTTCAGGAAAAAAGGGATTATTTTATGAATTATAATTTAATATTGTTTTATGTCTGCAACATTTAATGAAAGCTATAAAGGTGAGTCTTTTCTTACCATATACAGCCCATAACCTAATCTCTCAGGTACTTTCCAAAGAGAATATTTTCATAATGACCCAAACTGTACTGTTAGATTTACAAAAGTCCCATCACATAATGTAGAGAATGCCCTGTAGACTAAATGCATATGAAGATAGCACTGTATGGTACATCAGATGACACATAACTGTGAATGTTTTCAAGTTGACCTTGAAGATGTTAAGGGACTCACAAAAACAAACATCAGACAGGAGGATAACGAAAAGAAGACTCCCTATCTCTGGCATTTGTAATAGGCATAAAAGGAATGACAAGTTGATTATCTGACCCGGAATAAAATGCCCACACAGGAAAAGTAAAGAAAAAGGAAATTCAGCTACATGTCTCTTATCAAGGTTAGTAAAAATTTCATAAATAGATCACATAAACTGTACAAAATCATTGCCTTTGAAAATGGTTGATTTCATAGCTACAGTCTGCAGTTCCATCCATGCGTAGGAGATTGATAGCTGCTCCGCCCATTAGTATTAATGAATGATCAATGCACAACACACACACAAACACCAGGGAACCAAAGACACCCCACCTACACATTACTTTGTTTTTTAATCTTCCAAATGTTGTAGGATGGCTACTGCCTTATAAGTGGAAAATCATTAAATATAGCACATATTATTTCCCATAGCTGAAACTGACATCTCATAGAAATTAGTGAGGAAATGTAACTTTATTCATCTATCTGTCTGTTATGTTAAATTCTTTCTCACCTCTTTGTCATCTAAGGGATGCCTGTGACCATTAAGGAAATGTAGCCTGCACTGCTAGGACATTTCATTAAGGAAAAAATTCAGAATGATGTTAGTAGTCTGCTTAGTGAGAAAAATTCCTTCTCCTGGGAGTTCTCCAATAGTGTTAAATGCACTGTCACAGAATATCACTGCTTTTCCCGAACTCTGCATTCAGTAGAGTAAGACCTTTTGTTCTTTTTCTGATGAAGAATAGAAATTGACAGTTCACCGTTCTTATAATTGCCGAAGTTTTCCAATTTGTTGATACATCTTCAAATATAGGATTTAAAAAACCATTATAAAGCTCTTGCTTAGGCCTTTCCCCTGAAAAACAGACTTACCTCCTTTGGTGTACTCTCAGAGGTCTTATTTTACTTTAAAACAATCACTCTTATCCTTTTTACTTATGAGCCTCGTTCAGTACATGGTTCCCACCTGCACACGCTTATATTTTCTACTCAGGTAGCATCGCGGTGCCTTTATATTTATATAAGGGTCTAGCTAGGCATCTATTATATTTACTTACTTACTTGTATCTCAGTGTCATGCTTAAAATAAAGCACCAAAAAGCACTCAGTAAATACAGTTGAATGAAAGGAACATTTCATTCAAACCTTATAGTTACCGTGCTGCCATCACACTCGAGTGTCTGATTCTCTTCCCTCCTGGTGGTTCCTTCCTGCCTTCTAATTAGACTAATTTCTCTAAGTGCTGTTTTCTTCTGTCTACATTTCCTTCCACAACGTTCTTGCTCCTATGATTTCAAGTTTCCCCTCTATATGACTGCCATCTAAATCTGTGTTATCTCGATGGATCACCTCCATCCTTGACTTTTCCCCCGATCTTTAACTCCCATAGTCTTCTCTTCCCGTATCTAATCCATAGGTAGGTCCCAAACACTGTAGTTAAATGATGTCTCTAGCACCTGTTTCCCCTCCTCCAGACCTCCTTCCCTTTTTATGACACCATTTCTTTAATGTTACTCTCACCTACAAAGTCATGCCCATCTATAAGCCAGCTTGCATACTGATGCCAGGTTAGTTCTTCTAAACTATAATGTAACTCCTTTATTGAAATCCCATGGCCAATGATAAATTCAGATATCACTGTCAAACTGGTTCCTTAGTACCTTTTAGCTTTCTTTCTACTGTGCCCCTTTATGAGTCTTACGCTGTAGCGAGAAGCAGTGCAAAACTCTGAAGTTAGACCAACTGAATTTGAATTCTGGTTCTGTCACTTACTGGCTCTGTGATCATGGGCAAATCACTTAACTCCTCTATGTCTCATTTTTCTCACCTTTAAAATAGGGATAGTAGTTGGACCTACCACAAAGGATTATTATAAGGATTAAATGAAACACTCAGGGCAATGTCTAGCATACAGTTAGGGGTACAATAAGTGTTACTCATTATTAGACTCCACTTAAAGGGAATGATTTGCATTTCCCATGCACATCCTGTAATTTCCTAGCCCCATGCCTTTCTCACGATGTATTTTGTTTTCAGAATGTTCTCCATTTCCATCTCTATTTGTTTAAACCCTGCACATTTTACATTCATGTGCCCCCTCTTCCATGTAGCTTTCAGGCAAACCCCCAATACTCAGTTTAGCTTTTGAATTTCCATAGCATCTCCTGTACCTCTTTCAGTATTTAGCCCTTTCTATTTTGTATTATAATTAGGTGTATACATATCTTCTGAAAATACAGGGGAAAACAAGAACTGTTTTATGAATTTTTGCATTTTTCTCAGTGTCTAACCAAACATGAGATACTGTATTTGTTGACTAAATGAATGAATACCCCACTTGTTCACTTACGTTTTCCCTAATATGCAAGTGCAATGTGGTTTGAGAACCTGGCCAAAATTATTATCTTCTCCTTGCTTGGTTACGTAATTGATCTCCTTCTATCCTAACACCACCCTTTCCTCTTCTCTTTTTTCCCCCCTTTTACCCATACCTCTGACTCTTCCCCCTTTTCTGCTCCACTTACCTTCTCTCTCTCCCACTCTCCACTCCCCCGTCTTCCTCCTCATCATTGTCTTGAATTCTAGATTCTCACTTTTTAAAATTTCCTCCACAAACTCATAGCCAAGATCTGTGGGAATGAAGCGATGCTACTATCAAGAGGGAGATGTTTTCTGATCGTTTTTTGTTACTCTCTTTGTCAAAAATAATAGAGCATGTAGCATTCAATTATAATGCAACTTATTCATCTGAGCTACTGAGAAGCAAGCAATGGTTAAATGGCAAAAACAAGCCCAGTATCTGGACAAGGAGAAATAATCTCACAAGAACTTTTTAATTACATGTGCTTATTGTTGCAGTATGTTTTGTTTTGTTTTGGCGGTACGCGGGCCTCTCACCGTTGTGGCCTCTCCCGTCACGGAGCACAGGCTCCGGACGCGCAGGCTCAGCAGCCATGGCTCACGGGCCCAGCCGCTCCACGGCATGTGGGATCTTCCCGGACCGGGGCACGAACCCGTGTCCCCTGCATCGGCAGGCAGACTCTCAACCACTGCGCCACCAGGGAAGCCCTGTTGCAGTATGTTTTGAGTACAGTTTGTCTTTCTAGAAAAGGGAAACAATTGTATCATGAGATTGTTTTAAAGAGGAATTTGACCAAAGGTCTCCAAGAATAAATTCTTTACTTATTGTTAATTTCTTCCCTCTTTTCTCATTTACAATGGCGTTTTGAGTCCTAATCCTTTCCTCCAACATCTTAACTGTCCCTTTCCCTTAATCAATATCGTTTCTTTCTCCTAAATTTGAAAATCATCTAAAATGTCATATTATGCTCTGTTTTCCATTTCCACATGTCTTGAAATGTCTCATCCTGTTGGAGGAACATTCTCATGAGTTCTGTTAGGGATACCAATATCCTAATTAATTATGAGCTTACACAAAACCAATGTGATCTACTTGTATTTATGAATATAAATTTGAAAGATATAGTATGCTATTATCTCTATTATAGGACTGAGGGGTGTGAAGTTAACAAAATTAAATGGTAGATTGGAAAGTCAAACTTGAATTCTTATTTTATAATCGTGATATGAAGCCATATGTAAAGTTTAACAATTTTAAAACCTTTCTGTTTATGCTTCCCTGCCTGAGCCATAGTCAGTTAATGCTTAGGACTGGATACAATGTGGAAGTAATTCTGAGGATCCCAACTGACAACATTATGCATCTACTGCTATGGGATCATCATTATAGTAAATTTGTTCTCAACACTGGCATCTTTTTTTCTAATTTAGGGTAGAAATTTAACATCTGGAGAGGTTGGATTTTTCCCGAGTGATGCTGTCAAGCCTTGCCCCTGTGTGAGTATTTTATTTCTCTCTACTTTGTTTCTTGATGCTATAATGAATTGTCAAGAAAGTACAAAGGATACTGGTCTGGCCCATCATTAATTCTATTTTCTTATCAATAACATATTCCAATATTGTGATGATTCCATTGTCAGGAAATATTTTTAAATGTTAAGGGAAGGGGCTTCCCTGGTGGCGCAGTGGTTGAGAGTCCGCCTGCCGATGCAGGGGACACGGGTTCGTGCCCCAGTCCGGGAAGATCCACATGCCACGGAGCAGCTGGGCCCGTGAGCCATGGCCGCTGAGCCTGCGCGTCCGGAGCCTGTGCTCCGCGACGGGAGAGGCCACAACAGTGAGAGGCCCGCTACCGCCAAAAAAAAAAAAAAAAAAAAAAACAATGTTAAGGGAATACATGCAACAGGAAAATTTTACTTAGTATAATTTACAAAATTAACATTTTTATAAGGTTTTGGAAGGGATAAACTAAAGCTACTGATCAGATGTATTGTACAAACTTCCCTTTTCCCTCTGAGGTAAGAATGGTGTGGTCTAATATATTTCCAGTCACTTTGGGTTACAGAGAGATTGCACTTCAACTAGTGTGTTTGAAAGCCTGCTAGAAAGCATGAACGTCCACAGATTCTTCAGTCAAATCTCAATATATTTTTCTGTGCTTTAGTTTGTCATAACTGTTTATTTAGTGTCGTAATGACATTTTCTGAAAACATCAAACACGTTAGGCAGATACAAGAAGAATGAATATTTACTCAAATATTATTATGGATGAATATAACATAAAATGTACTCTCCGGTGCTGTATGAAATTTATAAATTTCTGTTTAGGGTCATGTTATTTTATCATCATAATTTGGTGTTTGGGGTAGATTTTTCTGTGACACTTTTCAAGTTCTTAACTCTAATTAAGGGAAATTATTTTACTAATACAATGGAGTTATTGGTTTGTGGGGATAAAAACCTTCTTGAACTATTTTGCTTGCCTTATTTCGGTCCTTCCCAGTTTTCTAAACTGAACATCCTTTTTTTTTTTTTTTTTCTTGCGTTATGCGGGCCTCTCACTGTTGTGGCCTCTCCCATTTGCGGAGCACAGGCTCCGGACGCGCAGGCCCAGCGGCCATGGCTCACGGGCCCAGCCGCTCCGCGGCATGTGGGATCTTCCCGAAACGGGGCACGAACCCGCGTCTCCTGCATCGGCAGGCGGACTCTCAAGCACTGCGCCACCAGGGAAGCCCGAACATTCTTTTTAACATTATAAATGGGAATGTCTGCCATCCTTAACCTCAGATGTAGTCTGAAGAATAATTTATTCCACTCATTCAAGCTTAATTAATTTCAAAAGCAAAGGGAATCAAAAAAAAAAAGCTCTTGCTATTTCTGTTGGTTCTATGATCTAATGCCACATATTATTCAGGTTATGTTGTAATCTTGAAAACAATTATTGAAATTTCATACCACTCTCATTTAATTAGATAAGCAAAAATGATTCTTTAGCTAGTTTTCTGTCATTTATATGAATAAGATTAAGGCTTCCTATGCTTAAAGAACTGATATTTATATGTAGGCACATAGCAGAAAATTAACATTAAGATTTTGGGAACCTAGCACAGGGAGCTCAGCTTCGTGTTCTGTGATGACCTAGATGGGTGGGATGGGGGGGTAGGGGAGGGAGGCCCAAGAGTGAGGGGATATATGTATACATACAGCTGATTCACTTCATTGTACAGCAAAAATTAACAACACTGTAAAGCAGTTATACTCCAATAAAAAAAACTATTAAGCATTTCATGTACCATGTACTGTTTTCTTTTTACACCTCCTTGAATATAGCATAGAATGAGCATTTGAAGTTTTATTTCAGGAATAGTATGGCACATAGTAGGTATTTAATAAATTTTTGTTGTATGAATGAACAAAGAAGTGAAAAAGCAAACAAAAGTTCCTAACTAAATGTAGGTAATTAATTAACAATGGCAGATATTAATTAAATCAGCTTATAGGATCATACTGAATGATATTTGGTGATCTGGTTAGTTAGTTACTAGAAAAAGAAATGTGCTTACTATTTTAGCTAATAAAGAGTTGTAGAGGAACACATAATTATGGGTAGGACTACCAACTACATGTGATTGTTTTTATAGCTTAAAGTTAATAAATAGCTATTAAAATTTTACTGCTTTATTTAATGAAATTATAGATTCATTTGTTGGTTGTAGGTTAAGTTAGGTGAATGAAGCTAAGCAGAAGGAGGAAAAACACAGGAGGAACATAAAAGAGACAATTTCATTTCTGGCAATATGGTTACTGGAGAGAAAGCCTAGAGCTAAAGCACAGTGCAAACTTGCGTGTCTCTCTGTGAATCGCAGAGCCCTCAGTGGGCGAAAAAGAAGAAAACTATCCCACAGGAGAAGATATGCCTATCTTTGTCTTGGATCTTGGTGGGGAACAGAAAAAAAAGTCTCTCTCCCCTAAGAATTCTTAACTTTAGATCCAAAAACCACCCACATGGGGGGTTGGAATTCATACTAGTTTTGTGACCTAAATAATACTAAGCTAGAAACATAGTAGAACATACATATCAATAATTACCTTAAACATAAATGAATTAAATGTTGCAAACAAAAGACCCAGACTGGCTGAATGGATACGGAAACAAGATCCATATATATGCTTTCTACAACAGAACCACTTCAGATCTAGGGGACACATACAGACTGAAAGTAAGGGGATTGCAAAAGGTATTTCATGAAAATGGAAATCAAAAGAAAGCTGGAGTAGCAATACTCATATAAAACAAAATAGACTTTAAAATAAAGACTATTACAAGAGACAAAGAAGGACACTACATAATGAGCAAGGATCAATCCAAGAAGAAGATATAACAATTATAAATATATATATACCCAAATATATGAGGCAAATATTAATAGCTATAAAAGGAGAAATCAACAGCAACACAATAATAGGGGAGGACTTTAACACCCCACTTTCGTCAGTGGACAGATCATTCAGACAGAAAATCAATAAGGAAACACAGGTCTTAAATAACACATTAGACCAGATGGACTTAAATGATATTTATAGAGCATTCCATCCAAAAGCAGCAGAATACACATTCTTCTCAAGTGCACATGGAACATTCTCCAGGATTGATCACCTGCTGGGCCACAAAGTGAGCCTCAGTAAATTTAAGAAAATTGAAATCACATCAAGCATCTTTTCCAACCACAACACTATGAGATTAGAAATCAACTACAAGGAAAAAAACTGTAAAAAGCCACGAACACGTGGAAGCTAAACAATATGCTACTAAACAACCAATGGATCACTGAAGAAATCAGAGAGGAAATCAAAAAATACCAAGAGACAGATAAAAATGAAAGCATGATGATCCAAAACCTATGGGACACAGCAAAAGCAGTTCCAAGAGGGAAGTTTATAGCAATACAGTCTTACCTCAGGAAACAAGAAAAATCCCAAATAAACACACTAAGCTTACACCTAGAGCAACTAGAGAGAGAAGAACAAACGAAACCCAAAGTTCATAGAAGGAAAGAAATCCTAAAGATCAGAGCAGAAATAAATGCAATAGAGATGAAAAAACAATAGTAAAGATCAATGAAGCTATAAGCTGATTCTGTGAAAAGTTAAACAAAATAGAAAAACCTTTAGCAAGACTCATCAAGAAAAAAAGGGAAGGGGCTCAGATCAATAAAATTACAAATGAAAAAGAAGTTACAACTGACACTACAGAAATACAAAGCATCATGAGAGACTACTATAAGCAACTATATGCCAATAAAATGGATAATCTAGAAGAAATGGACAAATCCTTAGAAAGCTACAATCTCCCAAGACTGAACCACGAGGAAATAGAAAATATGAAAAGACCAGTGTGGATGCCTTCTATGTAATAAAGGCCATATGTGACAAACCTACAGCTAGCATCATTACTCAGTGAGGAAAAGCTGAAAGCATTCCCTCTAAGATAAGGAACAAGACAAGGATATCCACTCTTGCCACTTTTATTCAACATAGTTTTGGAAATCCTAGCCACAGCAATGAGAGAGGAAAAATAAAATAAAATGAATCCAAATGGGAAAGGAAGAAGTAAAACTGTCACTGTTTGCAGATGGCATCATACTATACATGGAAAATCCTAAAGGTGCTACCAGAGAACTACTAGAACTCATCAATGAATTCGGTAAAGTTGCAGGATACAAAATTAATACACAGAAATCTGTTACATTTCTGTACACTAACAAAAGATCAGAAAGAGAAATTAAAGAAACAATGCCGGGCTTCCCTGGTGGCGCAGTGCTTGAGAGTCCGCCTGCCGATGCAGGAGACGCGGGACTATACATAGAAATTCCTAAAGATGCCACCAGAAAACTACTGGAGGTCATCAATGAATTTGGTAAAGTTGCAGGATACAAAATTAATATACAGAAATCTGTTGCATTTCTATACACTAACAATGAAATAGCAGAAAGAAATTAAGGAAACAATTCCATTCACCAACACATCAAAAAGAATAAAATATCTAGGAATAAACTTATTTAAAGAGGCAAAAGACGTGTACTCTGAAAACTATAAGACACTGATGAAAGAAATTGAAGATGACACAAACAGATGGAGAGACATACCATGTTCTTGGATTGGAAGAATCAATATTGTCAAAATGACTATACTGCCCAAGGCAATCTACAGATTCAGTGCAATCCCTATCAAATTACCAATGGCATTTTTCACAGAACTAGAACAAAAATTTTTTAAATTTGTATGGAGATACAAAAGACCCCAAATAGCCAAAGCAATCTTGAGAAGAAAAACGGAGCTGGAAGAATCAGGCTCCCTAACTTCAGGCTATACTATAAAGCTACAGTCATCAAAAGAGTATGGTACTAGCACAAAAACAGAAATATAGATCAATGGAATAGTATAGAAAGCCCAGAAGTAAACCCACATTCCTATGGTCAATTAGTCTATGACAAAGG